TCTGAGAAGAGAAGAAGTTTAACTGTGTGTTGTTTGTGAAATGCAGTGCAGGTTTTGGCTGGCAATTCCTTTAGCATTACAGCTCAGCAATTTAGATAAAATTCCTGGGAAGTGACTGTGGATTATCCCTATGATGTCTTTTTTTTTCTTTTTGAAATAAGGTTTTTGGAATTCATTAGAATCCTTTCTTTAGAGATACAAGGCAGAAAGGAGGGCGAGTGAACAAAATTTACAGACATTGAAATAGAGAAAAATAAATTAATTAGGAAAATATTATTAATCTGAGGACATCTGAACTATTTGTGCATTTGCAGAAATCTAATTAAAATACATAAAATTGCATTCAAATATTACTTATCTCATTTTATAATGATATTAACATCTCAACGTCCTCATTTTATAAGGATTAACATCCCAATGTCCTCAACTTACAAATGCTGCATTTGAAATAAACATATGATTTTAATTTTTTTTTAAATAAACCTTTTTGGAAATTATGACAATTACGTTACATTTTCTTTCCTCTGAAGGTAGACGTGGGCAACCTTGAAAAACGAAGGCTGCAACCTTGCAACAGACATGCTTTTGTGCATAAAATAGTGATGCACACAGAGTATTTTTTGGGAATAAGAAAGCAAATTATTTAATAAAACTGTCCTAATCTCAAATTAACATGCTGTGCATAAACATGGAGAATTATTTTACAAGCTCATAGAGCTTTGCAGATTCTCTTTCTCTCTGATTTTTGGTAGCAGAGGATGTAGTGATTTTATATTTTATTTCCCCGTATATATTGTTTTCCAAGGGAACATCTACAAAAAAAAACAAAAGGGATCTGGCAGCATATTGCTGTTGCCAGTTTAGGAGTATTCAGAGAAAATAGAAAGGATCTCTCTTTCTAAACAATCCTGGTTTATTTATTTTTTATTGGTCTGTTAGCAGATGTTGAAGTAGTTCAGGGCACAATGTAAACATGTGCTTTTCAATAGGGATATGGTAAGTATACAATGAAACAAGCAATTGGGAGGGTTTTTTGGACTGGGGCACTGAGGCTTTTCTTTTTTCTTTTTTTTTTTTTGTGTGTGTGTGTGTAGTTGAATTTAGAATTAAAAGGAAGTGCTTGATCTTTATATATTGAAATCCTCAGCGTGTGGAGTGACAGCATGAGCCAGAAGAGAAAACCATGGCCCCATGTGGTGTGAAAAAAAGGAACAGCAGTTTAAGTGCTGGAAAGTTGAAAGAGAACTAACCTTCTTGTTCTTGTAGTCAAGGAAAGTGGCTGTTTTGTGCTTTTGTATTGAAGCATAGCATATGTGCCTCAGTTTGACAAAAAGCCTCTTGAGTCAAAGCAACCCTCATCCTGTGTGCTGATCCAAAGCGAAGGCCGTGATAATGAGGGACGGGCTCTCAGGAAGCAGTGAGTAGATAATACTCCATAAGTGGAGAATTCTGCGCTGCTGTTTTCACCATTCTACTTAATGCAAGTCGCAGGCACGGTGAATCGCTTGCTGTACAGCTGAAATGGGCCATTAGCTATCAGGGAAAATTGTCTTTGCTACTTTCAGCAGATGGAGCAGATATTTTACAAAGCAATTTTACATACGAAAAACATTTGTGTTACTTGGTAATGATGGCTGTTTTACATGATGTTACCTTCTATCAGAACATACTTTTCCAGCTCGTGGAAGGCAAAATTGGCACTTTTTAATTTTAAAATTTGCAGTTAACAATGGTATGCCTGGGCTTTAAATCAGGTTGCAAACTTTAAGTAGATAGGACGTTCGGTGTATCGCTTCCAAAACATTTCCATTTTTATCAAATTGTTCTGTTCAGTGTGGTAGATTGAGATTCTGGCCAGCATGTACCTGTCTGAATTAGAAAAAAAATAGCAAATCAGTTTAATTTACAAAATAGGAAATAATGAAGGTTATTTGAACGGTCAGACAACAGTCACTGGACTCTTCCAATTTTGCCACGTTTGCTGGTGTCGCTGAGAATGTAAGAATAAGGGGCTGGAGCAGTTCCCATCAAGGCAGCTGGAATAAGTTATCATAGCTCCGCTGATCGCAATCTAAAGGATAGACTGTATAAAGGGTATGAGTTGTCATCGTGCTGTTGAAGTGGCATAAATTGCCATAGCTTCATTGACTTGGGCAGAGATGCAGCAGTTTGTATTGCTGAGGATCTGGCTGCTGATTTTATTCTTCTCTGGCCCAGTCAGCTTTACTTATTTGGAGTTACTTTCTTCACTCTATTTGCTTGCAAGGTCTAAATAACTTCCTTTCAATCTGCTTTTTAGCTAAAAAGCCCTAGATCTTCCTCATGCTCTTTCTGTCCTTGGGTCTTTCTTCCTATTTCTAAGACTGTTTCTTCTTTCTATTTATTTACTTACCTTCTCAACAGGCTTTTCTTTGCTGATGGGTCTGTCTCGAGTAGGTTTCCTATCGGTGCCTTCACCATATGCCGCATTTGGTCCGAATTTTTTGTCACAACTGCCATTCTGAGAAAGCCTTTCACAATTCAGCTTGCAGAAGGGTGAGAAACTATTTTATATTTATGGGGGGAAAAGCTGTAATATTTTTTTTTTCATACTTATTCATTTTTATTAAGAGGTGCAAACCTGATTTGGATAGATTTAAAAATTTCTACATGACGTAAAGAGTACTTGGGCTGCTCCTTTTTTACTGATGCTAAGAAAAATCAGCTGAAAGATTTGAACAAATGCTTCCTGTTTCCATTGAGCCCATGATTCTGGATTGTTTTGGGCCAAACCAGGAGATAAAACATTGGTAAGCTCTGCTGGAGATACCGTCCAATTTAGATGAAATTAGCCTGCCGAGCACTGATCCTTTTAAAAGGCTTGACTTCATCAGTGAGCGTTGGATCCAGGCTTGAATTTGCCTACTAAAAACTCCCTATAATCAAGATTATTGCCTTTTTCAAGCTTACGGTTGCAAAAAACCTAGAATTCCAGGTGCTGATCCTTAAAAAGTGGTTTCCCGACTCCCTTCTGTGAACACCCCGATTATCTAGGTGTTACTTGTTAAAAGCACTGTTAATGTTGGGTTTGATCTCACCAAACATGCTTCTGGATTTTCTTGACTTATTTCTTTCTTTAGCAGGACCTCTCTCCTTTCTGTAAGGCGACTGGTTTTCGTGCACACACCCTTCACACTCGGCGAGTGCTGGGGGTGCTTTGCACCCCAGGATGCTCCTGAGCCAGGCGCTGCGCATCCGCGTTGTCCTAACTGGTGTCTGGAGTTCATCCTGTGTTCAGGTCCCCTTCAAATGCTATTTGACCTCATTTCAGCAAGCCACACTGGCTCTGCTGAGGTAGAACCACAGCAGTCTTGTCTGTCTGATGTCCATTGTATGGACTGAGAGTATAGAATCATAGAATCCCAGACTGGTTTGGGTTGGAAGGGACCTTAAAGATCGTCCAGTCCCAACCCCTCTGCCATCAGCAGGGACACCTTCCACTAGACCAGGTTGCTCAACACCTGGTCTAAATTCAATTCTGAATTTAGATCTCACGTTTTACGTGTTACTTTGGTTTTGCCATAAATTTAAGGTTGTGCTGCTCAGTATATTGATATACTGACAATTTTTTAGCATTTTTTTCCTGAGATGTTTAAAGTCAACGTCATACTTTTCTCCTTAGTATATGATAGGAGCCCACATAGCCCAGATCAGCACCATTATCTACACATCTCAATATTTTTAAGGCATTTTCTTCTCAATTCCATGTGAGGTAGGGACAGCAATCGTCCCCCTTTCATAGCTGGACAGCTGAGGCACAGACAGAAAATCACTTCCCTGAAGTCTCGGGCAGGCTGCATTCAGGAACAAGATAGAGCTGGGTCTCCTATATGCAAAGATGATACCTGAGTCATTGACCCATCCTCATTCTGGTAGATAAATCACAGTAAACTGATTTTGAGTTTGTCTTTTTGGTTACATCACATCATGTGCCTCATGACAAAGCCCATCTCTTCCAACTCACCGCTCTGGAAAAATAGATATATATTTCTTTTCCTATTCTTAGATGTTAGCCATAAGGTTTTATCATGTTCCTCTAGAGGTCAAGATAATATGATGGTGGCTTAGGACATTGCCAAGATCAGAGGACGGTTGGTCATCTTCTGGAGCATGGGATGCTGAAGAGAGAGAGAAGATGTAAAACAGAAGCAAGGAGACCCAGGGGAAGCAGGCGGATGCTTATGAAGCAGCAAGAAGAGAAGCCTGAAGCAATAGAGTCAGGGTCCTTGCACTTTATATGCTTCTGTACTTCTGGGATGTCTTTGAACAGTAAAAGCAACGCAGTTAGTTTCTGTATTTAATGGGGTTGTTTTGTTTGTGTGATAATACAGGAAAGAATTTGAAACTAGGAAAAAGCTGGTTCATTTCTTATAGTGTGACTCATCAAATTCTACCCAAGGTAAAGGCATAAATACCTTTGTGAATTTATGGTACAGATTGGAGAGTATAAAAGGATATCTCTTGCTTTAGAAACCCTTTTACTTGATTATTCTTAAAAAAAAAAACCCAAAACCTAAAGGGTGTTTAGTTTGATGTAACAGCTTAAATCTAGAATCAGTAAAACTATTGCTGGCATATGTGACTATTTCAATATGCTCCCTTTCCAAATATAAACAACATAGAAGTTATTGACTGCTGGTATTGATCCCTAAGCAGTGAGCAAGTGCTTAGCATTTTCAGTTGCCAGATCAAATTATTGATATAAATGATAATTAAATAGATGCTCTACTGAAGTGGGGGATTGTCTTTCAGAGAAGAACAGTTTTCGATAGGAGGGAAGAGGAGTAACTAGAAGAATTAAAAAAGGCTTCCTGACTGTGGGTAAACAGTAACCACATTTTTTTTTTTCCTTTTTTTCTTTTTTTTTTAGCCTGTTGGAGGCCTGGTTTTTAATCACCCCACAAGCAGTTTTCATTTCTGTAGTAAAATTGCTTGTGGTTCTATTTAATTTGTTTCTGCAGGAGCCAGCTTTGGTGAAGATCTCCCAGGAGCTGCCGGGCCTTTTAGCACAGCACGTACAGCCAGTCAATGAGAAACGATTCCCTACATGGGAAAAATTCCTCCAAACATTTCTTACTCAAGGTAAATAAGACTGCAAAGTCGCTGTTAAGTGTTACAAGGAGTAATTATACCATATTGTATGCCATATTCTTGTTAATCTTGGGCACATTTAAATATTTATCTCCTTTTATTTCTCCATTATGCTTCAAATGTTCATTTACAAATGAATTACAGGCAACTATTCTATCATTCGTATGTCCTATCCAAGCATTTAACCTATATGAATCCTGGATTACCTTCTAATAATTCTGAATCAATAAGCACCAACACCTTAATCCTGGATTACTGTACTGGAGGCCATCACATTTGGCAAAAGGGCTTTAGGGAACACTAGCCTGTGAGTTTGCATGGGGATAAATGTGAGAATATTTCATCTTTGTTTGGTGTTGGTGAGTAAACATCTTGGTCCCTCCCATAGGACCAGGAAGGGAGCTCTATGTAAACTCTGGGTTCTATATTGTCCTGGTGTGAGCGGGGCCAGAGCTGGTTGTTCCCAGCAGCTGGAACAGCGCTGGGGGTTGGGTTCAGCTGGGATTTGTCAGGAGAGAAACGCTGAGAACATCCCCATGTTGCATTTGTGTCCCTGGCACTGAAGGACTTTGTGTTTGTCCGTCTGCAAGCGCAAGATCTCAGGGGGGAGGAATATTGCCATGGATCAGCTCCATGGGCACTGGGCTCTGCCAAGGGGCTGTTCCATCTCCTGTCCCCCATGGGCAGGAGATCCATGAGGGGCTCTTCCTCTCTTGCTCTCTCTGGCTTTGGCTCGGGCTCTGGCTCTCCCGGGATTGCGGTTTCGGGTCGGGATTGTGGCTCCTGCGGGATCGTGATCTGGGAACGGGCCGGGCTTGGTGGGCGGGTGCTGAGCAATGGCTCTGGGTGTCACTCATTTGCATATTTTATTACTGTTCTTATCACTGTTACTATTTCAATATCTTTATCATTTTAAGTTTTATTATATTTCCATGATAGAATTGTTCTTCTCTCCCCCTACGAGTCTCCTTCCCTTTGCCCCCCAGTTCTCTCCCCTGTCCCCTGGAGGGGACTGAGCCAGTGGCTGTGTTTGGCTGCCAGCCCAGTGCTGGCCCAGTGCAACCACCACATACATACACACATACATTGCATAAAGTGAAATGTGCTCATAACCTGTATCTGCTTTGGAGAAGAGCTGAGTTTTCCCCCCAGTTTTTGTCTTCACTATAACACTTCCAGGCAGATAGTGTCACCTCTGAGGCTCAGGAATGCAGTGCCATATTGTCCCTTACAGTATGCTGGCACAGATTCCTCATGACATCATTGCCACGCTCTTTCTTGCCCTCCAACCAAAGGAACATGAACAAGTTCCCATCTGATAGCTGGATAGTTTTGTTTGTGTGGTGCCGAGCCCTCAGCAGGGCTTCCTGCATTAAACCCACTCATGGCACCTTTGGATGGAAGCTGGATGGTGCCCAACTGGCCTAGAGCTCAGAAGTGAGCCTGTCTTTGTCCATAAGAGGCAGTGCAGATAAAACCCTGGTCTCATCACTGCAACCCAGTGTATCTGTGGGTGAGCTCTGCACAGGCATGTTCACATCCTAGATTCATATGCCACATTTTGTGTGTAAAAGATGCAGTGTTTGTAGTTACGTAGTAAATTTCTGTGGTGATTCTCCATATCATGGATATATACATTCCATACATTTTGTTATCTGTGGAAGAGACAAGGATGATTCAAAGCTTTGAAAATGGTTTGTTTTGTTTTGTTTTTAAATTATGCTAGTTAACATATATAAAGCCAATTTTTATGACATATTAGTTTATCCCAACTCAATGAGTGATGGCATTACATGCAGCAGAAAGGCAAATCCAGAATGCCAAGCAGTTTTCTTTGTGATTTTCCTACAGACAGCCTTGCTAGAAGTTGTCATCTACAAACCTTCCCATCTACACACCAAATTCCTCATGTGGATGAATACCAACAGGCAAACTACTTATTTCAGACCATCATAGGGATGGGAATCTCCAGGATCAATTCACAGCAGGGGGTACCTCTCCCCAGAGGTCCCAACCCTGCATTTCACTGCTATTCTGGGCCTGGCATTTAGCTGGGCTGTAGGACAACCCAGGATTCATTCATACTCCCCAAGAGCATATTACTCCAGTCAGATATGTGATATATCCAGTTTGGAAGTGCTTGCAAAGCATCTGTAGCTCCAAAGCTGCTGGTTGAACGATGAGATGATAGTAGATGAGATACCTTCTTTCTCTTCTAAGAGATTCATGGGTTCTAGCTCTGCTGCTCACATTACATGTATTTACTTGCTGTATCTCCATAGCAGTCCTCCCTGCGATGTCTGAGCACGACAGGAGCTGGATGGTTTCATTCTGTGCACTCCGAAGAGCATCACATGTGAATTTGATTACTAACTTAACAGCTAATTCATTTCTTACTAGGTGGTGTGATAGAAGCCTTCCCTCTCTCAGAAAATGTCACAAACCTTACGGTGGATATGCTGATAGAGCCAACAGGCAAGATAAAAATAGTGTCATCTGGAGACCAGCTCCATGCTGACGGTCCTTTGCGATCATCTGGCACTACCATTCCACAATGTTCTGTTGATCCAGGAGTTCTTAATTCACTCTGCTTAAAAATTGGAGAAACCTGTAAATCTAAAGGAGTGCTTGGTTACTTCTCAGTGGATTTTGTGACTTTCATCCACCCACAAACGATGGAGCAGCAGGTGAGTGGGACAGATAAGTTATTTCACACTGACCCCCCGAGATCAGGAAATGTCTGCTTTCCTGCTTGATTCCGACAGATACCAGGAGAAAGCTTTGCCCTTTGAACAACCTTTGTTTCCAAGCCCTGGGGCATGTGGAGGCAGGTAAAGCACATGGTTATTCTAACAATAGCATCAAATTTAGACCTGAACTGCCAGGTGGACCTGAGAAACCTTTTTCATCAGCCTGAAAAGTAACAAGGCCTGCAGGACTGCTTTCAAAGCTGAGTGATAAGAAAATAATATATTAATTTCTTCTAATGAATTTTCTT